CAAGCCGCAGGACGCGCTGGAGGGAGTCGTGCTCTGCGTGAGTGTTTGCACATCCTTCACCACACGCACTTCCTGTTAGCGTGCGCGCCTCACTTCCTGTCTCTCTGCAGCCGACGCTGGAGGAGCGTGTGCGCGACATCGCCATAGCGACGAGGAACACGCGACAGAACCGCGGGCTGTACCGGAACATCCTGATGTACGGGCCGCCGGGGACGGGGAAGACGCTCTTCGCTAAGGTAACGCTCGCGCACTCGTCTTCATACGCATCGTAGCGATGTAACGATTACCGGTTTAACGATAAATCATGATTAAATTCCCCACCGTTAGTTTTAGCGTTGCATGTTTTAGTTATTATAACCGCATTCGATTACCATGATTTGAACAACTGAGGATAAATAAATGCTATCCAGCATAAAGCAGAATCATTATAAGCTACTTGCAGCTTCTGTAAACTAGATGTTCTATAGCTGAGCCACAGATGAGCAGTATAAGGTGTTTACAGTGTGCTTTAAACAGTGACACCTTCACCTCATCTGATCAGAAACCAAACTTACGTGAAAGTATATCCTCCTCGTCTGTCATGAGCAGAAGCTGGCGATGCATTCTGGGATGGATTACGCCATCATGACGGGAGGAGACGTGGCGCCGATGGGCCGAGACGGAGTGACAGCGATGCACAAGGTGTTCGACTGGGCCGGAACCAGCGGCCGCGGGTCAGAGACACCACACCAGAACAATATACCACATTATTACCTCTACAGTTACAGTACCTTCAGTTATATATATATATATATTATCAAATGGCCAGAGTTTTGAGAACGCAGTGGACGTGGAGGACTATAATGCAATAAGAGCTCGTTCAAATACTGAGGTGCTAAACCATTCAGGGCTTTATAAGTAATTAGCAAGATTTTAAAATCTATAGGATGTTTAATAGGGAGCCAGTGCAGTGTTGACAGAACTGGGCTAATATGCTCATACTTCCTGGTTCTAGTAAGAACTCTAGCTGCTGCATTCTGGACCAGCTGGAGTTTGTTTATTAAGCGTGCAGAACAACCACCCAATAAAGCATTACAATAATCTAACCTTGAGGTCATGAACGCATGGATTAACATTTCTGCATTTGACATTGAGAGCATAGGTCGTAATTTTTATATATTTTTAATATGGAAAAATGCGGTTTTACAAATGCTAGAAACGTGGCTTTCAAAGGAAAGATTGCTATCAAATAGCACACCTAGGTTCCTAACTGATGACGAGGAATTGACAGAGCAGCCATCGAGACTTAGACAGTGTTCTAGGTTATTATATGCAGAGGTTTTAGGTGTGTGTGTGTGTGTGTGTGTGTGTGATGTTCTGCTGTTCTCCAGGCTGCTGCTGTTTGTGGATGAAGCCGATGCATTCCTGCGCAAGAGATCCTCCGTGAGTCTCGCACTCCCTCACTGTGCGTGTGTGTGTCTGTGTGTCGCTGCGGAGTCATGTGACACATGTGTGTGTGTGTGTGTTTCAGGAGCGGATCAGCGAGGATCTGCGCGCAACTCTGAACGCATTCCTGTACCGCACCGGAGAACAGAGCAACAAGTAAACACTCTCTCTCACACACACACACACACACACTCAAACTGCTGACAAGATGTTGATGTGTGTGTGTGTGTGTGTGTGTGTTTCAGGTTCATGCTGGTTCTGGCCAGTAATCAGCCCGAGCAGTTTGATTGGGCCATAAACGACCGGATCGACGAGATTGTAAACTTCATGCTGCCGGGACTCGAGGAGAGAGAGAGACTCGTACGACTGTACTTCGACAGATACGTGCTGGAGCCGGCCACCGGAGGACGCCAGTGAGCAACACACACAGACTCACACACACACACACACACACACACACCTTACGTCTGACCCGCCCCCAAAACACACACACACACACACACACACACACCCCTTATGTCTGACCCGCCCCCAAAATGCGCGCACATACACACACACACACTCTCTCACACACACACACACACACACACTCAAACTGCTGACAAGATGTTGATGTGTGTGTGTGTGTGTGTGTGTGTTTCAGGTTCATGCTGGTTCTGGCCAGTAATCAGCCCGAGCAGTTTGATTGGGCCATAAACGACCGGATCGACGAGATTGTAAACTTCATGCTGCCGGGACTCGAGGAGAGAGAGAGACTCGTACGACTGTACTTCGACAGATACGTGCTGGAGCCGGCCACCGGAGGACGCCAGTGAGCAACACACACAGACTCACACACACACACACACACACACACACACACCTTACGTCTGACCCGCCCCCAAAACACACACAGACTCACACACACACACACACCTTATGTCTGACCCGCCCCCAAAATGCGCGCACATACACACACACACACTCTCTCACACACACACACACACACACCTTACGTCTGACCCGCCCCCAAAACACACACAGACTCACACTCACACTCACATCTTGCGTCTGACCCGCCCCCAAAATGCACACTCACACACACACACACACACACACACACCTTACGTCTGACCCGCCCCCAAAACACACACAGACTCACACACACACACACACCTTATGTCTGACCCGCCCCCAAAATGCGCGCACATACACACACACACACTCTCTCACACACACACACACACACACCTTACGTCTGACCCGCCTCCAAAATGCACACTCACACACACACACACACACATTCATACCTAGGTTAAAAAAAAAAGTACACTTCCATAAAGTACTTAAAGTGCTATTCTGGGACACCATGAATATGAACTGAAATGTGCTTTAAACACACTATCTCTGTGTAAAAGTCACCACTTGAGTGTTCTAGTGTGTGAAAGATGGGTTCAGGTTTTCAGTAAATAAATGCTATATATATATATATATATATATATAATGATTATTTTGGTCAATATTGTAATCACGATTATTAGTGGGTCATATGAACAAATCTTTATATTAGTGAAAAAAGTCCTCAAAGATGATTGAAAATAAATAAACTAGGTAGACAAAACATATAAAACTGCTTTTAGTTTACAATAACATTGATTCAGACCATTTTTAAATGCTGCATGACACTCGCTGAACTGAACGTGTGTGTGTGTGTGCGTGTGTGTGTGCGCTTGCGTGTGTGTACGTGTGTGCGCGTGCGTGTGTGTGTGTGTGTGTGTGTGCGCAGGAGGCTGAAGCTGGCTCAGTTCGATTACGGGCTGAAGTGTTCGGAGATCGCGAAGCGTGTGGAGGGAATGTCTGGGCGAGAAATCTCCAAACTCGCAGTCGCCTGGCAGGTTTGTTCGCCCGTTAACCACTTGTATGCTGCACACAAACACTCTCTAACTTTACCACTGAAGTGTTTGAAGGAGAAGTGCACTTGCAGAATAAACATTTCCTGATCATATCCTCACCCCATACCATCCCACATTCATGTCTGTCTGTCTTCAGTCGCAAAGAAATGAGGTTTTTGAGGAAAACATTGCGGTGTGTTTCTCCATATAGTGGACTTCAGTGGTGCTCAACGGATTGAAGGTTAAAAATGCAGCTCCACACGACCCCAGCCGAGGAATAACTTGCGCTTTTTGACCACAAATGCTTGCTCTGATGCGCGTCTTCACTCGTCACGTAATCCTGCTGGAAAGGCCAGGTTCATATTTGTACTTCGCTTACGAACTCCATCTCATTTTCTCCAACTTTAAAATCATCCCACATCGTTTTTACATTTTTTTGGTAAAGGGCATTTGACTTTTGTACACACTGGATCGGTGCTACGTCACACATCCGCTAATAAAGACGCGCATCGCAGAGCTAATGCTAGCAAGCACTTGTGGTTAAAAAGTGGATAAATGTTAATTGTTTTCAGAAAATGATCGAACATTTCTCTAGATAAGACCCTTATTCCTCGACTGAGTATGTTATCAGGAAATGTTTATTCTGGAAATGCACTTCTGCTTTGGATGTTTGATCTCATGGAGGCGTGTGATGCCGCAGAGGCTCATGGGTAACGTGTGTGTGTGTGTGTGTGTCAGGCGGCGGCGTACTCCTCTGAGGATGGTGTACTGACCGAGGCCATGATCGACGCGCGGGTGGATGACGCCGTGAGACAGCACCGGCAGAAGATGGACTGGCTTCATGGAGAAGGGGTTCTGGATAACGAGGGCCGGCCGTTTCCCGCCAAAGGCTCCGCGCCGCCGCTCAAAGCACAGGAAGTGCTCCGCCCTCTGCAGGAAGTGCCATCAGACCGGAGCAAACCCGACGGGACTCCGGTTTAACGCTCGTGTGGAGTCTCTTCATGTGTCAGAGGAACGATTAAAGCTGCAGTTCGTCTGTCTGGTGTGTGTTTGTGCCCATGTTTACATGATCAGGAGTCCGTAACATTAATATTCATTCTTAATCATCTGAGAGACTGGAAACCGGTCCACATGAAATCAGTGGAAACTGTTAAATGACAGTAAAGCCATTTTCATTTCTTATGCTGTCTGTTTGAGTTATGATATAACTTAAGACGGGAACCAGTTATGATTTTCTGCTCGCTGACGAAATAACTAGATCACTTAAAACTCACCAACACAATGCAAATCATTCGCATTAATGTATGCCAAATTAATTATGAATTAATGGATTATGAATTAATTTTATCATCAATTTAATAGAAACAAATTAATAAAACGGAGTCAAAAACATAGTAATACAAAAAGACATGAAATGCCGCATAATGACTAGTTTTTCATTTAGGAAAGCCGTCCGAACAAAGCGATTCAGCACAATGACTCCGAGATCCGGTTCACTTGAACTGACTCGCTGGAAGAACCCTAACTTACCATCGTTACAGAGCGAGATCCAGAACGAACCGACTCGCCAGAAAGAACTGGACTTTCCGAAGCTACTTTTTTTTTTATTAAACAATACAAACATTAAAACATTCAGCAGTACAATTACAGTAAATTAAAGAATCATAAATACAAGATAAAAAAAACAAATACACACAGAATTGTTGCCAGGGTAACAGCAACAAAAGACAAGGTAATGAATTAATTCTGTAATATTTTCCGGTGTTCTCTCTTCAACAGTCAATAAAAAAAAAGAAAGATTCGGACTTCCCGGAGCTGTATATAAGAGCGAGATCCATTTAGAAGGAACCGACTCGCTAGAAAGATTCGGACTGTCCGAAGCCATTTACAGTGAGCCGACTCTAGAAAGATTCGGACTGAGATACGAGAGAGCCGCTCGCTCGACAGCATAAACTATAAAGTAATACAAATATTACATAAAAACAGCGATCGTCTCGAAAAGTGCCGAGACGGATCTTTTGAAAGAAAATCGTGAAATAAAAGGATTGCGTTGTAACTGAGTAAATGAATACACTTTAATTGGGGCTATTTTTCAGTGTTTCCTCGCAGCAAGCTGTGATTATTGATCTACTGACAGCTGCTGGATGATTGGATTCATAACCCTTCAGAATAACACGTGACGAGCAGTGCTGGGAAGGTTACTGTGGAAATGTAACAGAGTAGTGTAACTTTTCAATTACTTTATTAAAGTAATGTAACTGATTACATTTGATGACTTTTCTAAATTTCTAATGTTTTCAACTGTTAATCATTTTCAATCATGTAAAGCAGGCAGGGTTAACCTTACAGTATGTGCTCAACACTGATAACTGGATGCAAAATATCTTAATTTGCGTATAAATGTGTCTTAGCAGTGTGTGGACACAACCACCTTACAATAATCTCCCAAAAACCTAAACGGTCTCAATTATCAAGCCATTTAGATTTTGGAGAGAATACCAGCGCTCTCTTCCACCTTCAATACCACGACTGAAGCGAGACCCTTGAGCAAGCTTTGCTGGTGTGTGTGTGTACGGTGTGTGTGTGTGTACGGTGTGTGTGTGTACGGGGTGTGTGTGTACGGTGTGTGTGTGTGTACGGTGTGTGTGTGTACGGGGTGTGTGTGTGCGGTGTGTGTGCGTGGAGGGTGTGTGTGTGTGGGGTGTGTGTGTGTGCTGGATGCAAAATATCTTAATTTGCGTATAAATGTGTCTTAGCAGTGTGTGGACACAACCACCTTACAATAATCTCCCAAAAACCTAAACGGTCTCAATTATCAAGCCATTTTGTTGGTGTGTGTTCACTGCTGTGTGTGTGTGTGTGTGTACGGTGTGTGTGTACGGTGTGTGTGTAAGGTGTGTGTGTGTACGGTGTGTGTGTGTACGGTGTGTGTGTACGGTGTGTGTGTGTACGGGGTGTGTGTGTA